ATTTTTACAATCCATCGTTTGAAATACGAAGGTATAATAACATAATATTGCCGGTATATGAAGAGAAGGATTTTGTTCGTAACGGCATTTCTCCCCCTAAAATAAATTAGTTACAGGATGCTAAAAGCTTAGATGCTATAGGCACTTTAAAATGTTCAATGATGTAATTTTTTGTTCTTTTCTTTGTATAAAATCTGAAATTATTAACAATATGATATTGTTCAATGGGGCGAGCTCGGTCTCGAAGGAATCACTGAAGACCTCACACAGAGGGAGTAAGAGAGGAAATAATTATTGTTGATRTACGCATYATAGTCATATTGTATCCATTAAAACTATATACATATATATATTTATATTGTACCTATAAAAGTGAGTACTCTGACGGAAAGGAGATTGAAAAAAAAAATCGCTGTCTTTCACTTAGAAATCTGTGTAAGCGGCCGTCCCACGCGAATCGATATCGCCCGATTACTACGGATCCGATACAGAAAGGGTCGACGGAGACTGCAGGCAGTTAATAATCGCAATAAAAGGCTTTCCGACCGGTAAAAGACGCGTATATTTCAGTACACACACACACATATATATATATAATACATATAGAAGGCCGTTGGACGACATATATAATATATATTATTATTATTACTATTATTATACATTTTATACGAATAAGACCCACATTACGCGCTCGCTTCTCCCTACCACGGCGGCGCAGACACACGGCCGCCACCCCGTCCACGGTCAAATCGTCAAATCGTGTTGGTCGCGCCCGACTGGAGTGCACACACGGCAGCGCGCGTATTATTATAATAATATATATATGTAGTTACGCACTTGTAGCTTTAAGCCCGCCGCCGAACTCGACGCTCACTTCTGTCCAAGTCACTTACCCGCAATCACGGTCCGCCGCAGCAGTGTTTCACCCGGAGTATATTATACTCATATAAGTAAGTAAATAATAATGAACCTCATTTTATATTCTCTCATTCGTTTACTTACTGTTTGGATCGTAAATTTCCACTAATTAAAGGAATTAAAAATAATAATAATAATATAGTGCCTATATAATATTATATCGCGTCCGTAGTTATTGTAATGTTTTATTTTCGATTTATTTTGTTCGGAAATTGTTTTTTTTTCAACGTCTTTCTACGCTATTTACAAGTAACAATTAACATGCGATCGGTTGACACATTTCGCGACACTTTGAAAAATAATTCATAATACCTAATATATAGGCGGTACCTAAGTGCAGTATGTACCAAATCTCCGTTTTTTAATTATTGAGTTCGTGCGATTGATTTATAAACATATATATGTATATATTTTTTATTTTTATTCGGTATAGTATATTGTTTTGTAAAAATATGTGATGTACATCGAAAATAATTGCTATTTTTGTAAAACTGCATTTCATATTGTACATTTCTGAATCTATTTTTTACATTAATTTTATTTAACTGTTTTTTACATRAATATACATTAAATATTAATAAATACTTATTAATATGCTAACATATAGATTACTTTTTTTATCTGAAAAAAATATAAATTATGCTAAACTTATACAATTCCCTTATTATTAACGCGTTTGTGATGAAACTAGAATGCGACACTATTTTAATAGTTAAATTTAGTTATAATAAATACAATTCATAAATCATAATATAACGGCATACTCGYATAATATTACTTTTAATTAAGGACGATTATTTAAGTATATAATAACTAATAATGAAGTATATATTATCTTCGAAATCATTCTCAACTTCTTGATTATTTTGATCAAAAGATTTTTTTAAATAAACAATTGTGTACTTTTTTCTTTTACTWTTTATATTTTATCATTACCTATTATCACAATTATGATTACGAATCATGAGTAGGTATAACCGAAATAGAATTTGGATCAATTCAAATGTATTCGTCATATAGTTGGTATGCTATCAATAAATATAGTCTTAAACTTAAAGTTAAGTTRTGTACTTACAGCTCTCTGCGAATCTGCATAAATATTTATATACTTAATAAAAAAGTGAAATTATTTGGTTTTTTGATTGATG